ATGCACTATGGTTTTTTTTTAAACAGCCCAAAAATTATAGAGAAACTTATGAGTGGGATAGACACAATTTTCAAGATGGAGGATCTCCGTTTGCGTTCAATTTGTACCATAGACTAATAGAGTTTCGTCTGCCTGGCTTACATGTGAAAAGCAAATCAGTGAACCGGCTCGCATCTCAGCTCAATTTGTACCTACATTGCTGCAACCAGTTCTGTTTTGCGTTTCAAGCTCCGAGGTACTAGCCACCGGCAGCACGGGGCTCGTTGACTCACATACATACATTGAGTTGGGGTTCAATAAGTAAATTATCTGTTCACAGGTCGATGCGCTAACTGCGATGTACTATTGTGTGTCTATTTAAGATAGATTAGTTTGCAAACTAACGCTTGTAAAATATCGAACTATTTTTGTATGAGGATTAATGTCGTACTAAATGGACGGTTGTCATAGTGTCAAACCGTCGCGCACAACGAATAACTGTGAACTATCGAGAATCGGTCTTGTAATAAAATTAATTGATCAAATGTTATACTAAAATTTAGGTATTTTATAACTTTTTAAGTTTATTAAAGTTATTTGGCTATTTATTACACAATTAATTTAAAAAAAATTTTTTTTGGTCGTCAACACCGCAATTTTTGTTTTAATGTCTTATTTCTTTATGTAATTATGAAGGATAAAGTAGGAATAGAAAGAAACAATTTTATTTATATCGTAAATCAAAAAGAATAATCACGAATTTTTGATTGCAAGTTCTATGAGAACACCCAAGAACACCATCGAAAATCGAAAAAACTCAATCGATTTTACTGCCATATCTAGTGAATTGTCAATAGAATTGTCAAACTAATATATCTTAAATAGACACACTATAGTGCATCGCAGTTAGCGCATCGAGCTGCGAACAAATAATTTACTTATTGACCCCAACTCAACGGTTCAAGTCAGAGTACATAAAATAGGTTCAAGTTTACGAGGGCTCCTCCCTTATTGGTCAAAATGTGACGCTGTCAAGATGACATCGTTATTGATTAATTTTGTCCGAGTGCCATAAGGTCCTTGTGGGACTATAAGTTTATGTTTTTATAATAAACAGATATCAAGTGCGTGTTGTATAAAAACAAAGAAAAAGAAAATGGGTATTGAATTTCGAGATTTAGATAAGAAGTCAATAGACGATAGTGATACTGATTTCAGTGATGAAAGTGGGGAAATGGGTGTCCTTGGTTAGTTTCAATAAATCTAATTCTTATGCATTTATCATTTTTATTACTTAATTCTTGAATTATGATCATTGTTTATTTATTGTTATGATTTTTAAAATAGAAATATTTTGTTTAAAACTTTTAGTACTAGTGTTATTCTTAAACATCATTATCACTAACAAATGCTGTTGGCTCCAGTTTTTGTCATTGTTGAAGTTATATGTTGCATAACAAACTGATGTTAAACTAAATGACTTAAAACATTTCCCATATTACATTTTATTAACTGATCACTATAAAATATTTAAATCCAGATACGGATACTGACGATTATGAAGAAGGTGAGCCATCAAATATGGAAGAAGCAGAAAACGAAACAATCAGATCTAATAGTGAGTTAGATCAAAGTGATGATGAGGAGGATGAAGTGGTTAAAGCTATCAAGGTAGAGAAATCTAAACCAAGGGATCATCCTCCCGCAATAACCTGCGAAGATTTTATTGTTGATATGTCTTTTAGTCCATCTCACAATTTAATTGCTTTAGCAAACATAATGGGTGATGTATTACTATATGAATATAATAATGATGAAAACAAATTGTTAAACACTTTGGAGTTACATGTTAAGGCTTGTAGAGATATAGAATTCAATGAAGCAGGTGATATAATTTTTACAGCTGGAAAAGTAAGTTATAACTATTTTTATTATTTCAAACTCGCTGTTGCCCGCAACTCCGTTCGGGCGTAATAAAAACAAACTAAATAAGAACCTGTGTGTTCTCCCAGACAATGTTCCAAATTTCAGCGAGATCCATGTAGCCTTTCCAGGGAGATGGCTTCAAAGAAACATCCATCTAAACATTCACATTTATAATAAGTAAGATAAGTTAAAATTTTTGTCATATTTAAATAAGTGTTGAAAGAGTACAAGTTTAACAGTAATTTATTTATAATACAGCTAATATTATTTTTGTATTGTTCAGGACAAAGCAATTATTGCTACTGATGTAGAAACTGGAAAATTAAAGCGCTGTTATGAAAATGCGCATGAAGAACCAGTTTACAAGTTGTTATGTTTAGAAAACAACAAATTTGTAACAGGTAAATTTAGATACAACAAAAATTATATTTTATATAAACTATTTTTATTATTACCCCAATTGAAATACAATCCAAATGAAACTGCAGAGAAAAACCTGTTGCCATATTCAGCTACAGTTTGTCCATCATATGACAAATAGTTTGGCAATTTATTAGGGATGGGTTGAGTAAAACCGGTTTTCAATCTTTTCAAGTTGCGATGGTTGTTTCATGCAGCTTGAAATTATTATTATATTAATTCATATTTAATTATTCAAAACTAAATAAAGAAATAAAATTTTAAACCAAATATTGAGGGGTTGAGATAATAAGGTATTTAATTTTTTTTTCTGTTAACTGTGTAAGACAAAACAAAATTAATTTAATATGTACTAAAAAACAACTTAATTATAACATTTATTTGTTTCGTCTATTTTTGAACAAGAACAATTCTTAATAGCTTATAGTTGTTCGTTATGCAGGTCTGGTCCAACACTGTGACACCCATCCAATACGTAGGATACTAACATTCATTACATATTTTCGATCCTTCGAAGGTGTTAGTTGTCTAACTTATATCATAAAATAGACAAACTGTATCACTTGTTTGTTTGGAGAAACATTAACATAAAATTGAAATTTATTATTACTCGTAGCAATCTTTCAGCAATATAAAAGCGGAAAGGGATTTTTATAGGGATATAAAAATATAAACAAAAGAGTATTAAGTGCTATTAATTATTTACAGGTGATGATGGAGGAACTGTTAAACTGTGGGATCTCAGGAAACCGGATCCATTTTTAAGCATAAAAATTGGTGATGAACATGTTTCCGACATGATAACAAATGAATCTGAAAAATATTTAGTTTGCGCAGGTGGCGACGGAGTTCTAACATCCATAGATTTAAAAGGCAGGTATGTAAATATCTGTTTGTGATGAAAACATTTACTAATGCTAATAATACATATAGTGCAAAGGCTTATTAAAACTATTTTAGTAAGAATCAACACTAGAATTAATATGTTTTATTTCTTATAATGATTTGTGCAAAAGGTTAGCTTAGATGACTACTTATTAGAAAATAAATATAAAAATTGTGTCACTGAATTCTGTTTCAGTAAAATATACACAACCTCGGAAGACTATGATTCAGAGTTAACATGTATGGGACTTTTCCGCTCGGACACCAAATTATTGGTAGGATCATCAAAAGGAAAACTCTACCTATTTAATTGGATGGAGTTTGGTCTGCACAGTGATGAGTATGTGGGTGAGAAACATTCACTACAATGCATGGTTCCAGTTACACAAAATATTGTTGTGACATCTGGGGAAGATGGAATTTTAAGAGCAGCACATATGTTTCCTCAAAGACAATTGGGAATAGTGGGCCAACACAGCTTGCCTGTTGAATGTCTGGATATCAGTCATGATGGACAGTACATAGCATCATGTTCTCACAATAATGATGTAAAATTTTGGAATATATCCTACTTTGAAACAATTGACTCGCTTATTGATGTAAATCATAAACAAAATAAGAGAAAGGATATGAGCAACAATCTACCTTCAAGTAGCGTAAAAAATGCCTCCGACTTTTTTTCGGGTCTTGTGTAAATTTTTTTGTAAAAATAAAGTGCATGTAGCTGTTATTATGCCGGGTTTATATATTAACTGTTAATTACAAGAAAACAACTTATTACATACTTAGATTTCTAGAAAACTTAGAATTAAAAATGTAACATTTATTTCGCATTGCAACAAAACTGTTTTTTAATGCGAGAGAAATAACGAGAGATGATTTATGGCAGTAGGGAATAAGTAGACATCAGCATTTAATTTTATTATTGTTTGAAATACTTCAAGGATTTAGAAAACTTCCAAAATTAAAAGAATTAACTAAAAAAAATGAAACAACTGTATGTTATAGTTCTTCATGTTTAATCTTTTTTGGACTTGGGAATGACCAAAACTCTGAAGGTAAGCCTTTGACATCTCTTTCTCTCTTCACAAATGCTGAGTATGAGGACACACAATTGCCAATGAAATAGTTAGCTTGGCCTAATATAGCTAAATCTAAATGAGGGTTTGATTGTTCCAATTTTACAATACTTACATCAAACTGTTGTAAAGCTAACTTAAAATCATCAATTAAGTGGTTTGCATCTGAAGCTACAAAAATATATTTTATATCATTTAATTTTTTCAATGCTCGCTTCACTTGTCTGAAAATAAAAATGTCTTAGAAAATATTGGTATTCAACAAAAATATGTAAGACTTAACAAAATAAATAAAATACATAACCAACTTTGTGTTTACTTACTTTATTATATCTGATTTATCTGGGTAACACATTGATTGTGTTAACAAACCTCTTTCATTTTTATAACCCACACATTGTGGTGCAGCAAATAATCTTGGACTATCCTTAACATGTTGGCAAGCTCTTATCCAATCCTGACCATTCCTCAAATGTAAACCTATGAAACCTCCACCGCTCATATTATTTTTGATAAAAGCTCTTGACTTATTCACTATGTTTTGATTCCATTTTAAATATTTATGTAGGTGCACATTTTCCTCTTGAACAGGGAAGCTGGCTGGAGCACCTACAAGTTTAATAATCGTAAATCACTATGGAATATGGATTAATTAAATATTTGCTGACCTCTATGGATATTATTGGAAAGGTTGCTACTTGGAAATGTCAGCTACTATGCAATAATCCATTCATCTATAATCAAATGGAAAGTATACAAGTTGTGGTATTTTATACCAAATTGAAGACAATAAAATTGGCACAAAATATCACAGCTTCTATTCTCCAGTGGATTATAGAGATCAATATTTATTGATAATGTATGTATGCAACTAATTCTACATAAACACCTAATTATTGTGAAATAAATATATTATATAAAGGACCTGGTTGGGGAACTACTTTTTATTTATTATAGGATGGTACGCTGAATTTAGAAGTGGTGGAGATTTGTTGCCTACCTTTGATCAATGGAGAAGAAGCTTCTTCTGAACTCAGAAAGAGCATACTTACCTTACTAGAAGCAGTATTGCATATTTTAGGTTAAAACATACTCTTTTGTAGCCATGTTGACATTTGTGATATCAATCATTGGTGGTTTAAGTGTTAAATAATGTGTTTAACTAAACAGAGTCTAACTTTATTTTTAAAGTAAAACAGTTAATTACCTGTTTATTGATAAAAATTAGCCATAACTTTCCAAATAACTGGCCATGCCTTGCTTACCCTACAACACCATGCTTGGCTTACCCTACAATTGCATGATACCTGACCCTTAAGATAATTTGATAAATTATTTTGCATCCTTTAGCTTCCTCTGTTAAGGAGAAGTCAAGCCATTATGTTAATTGGTCCAACAAAATAAGAAGTAAACATATTACAAAAATTACCTGTAAAGGCTAAAACTGGCCAATCTGTTAATGGATATTTTTGTTTCCATTTACCCATCATTGCTTGGTTATGGGCATCATAATTCAGTGGTCCATAAAATTCGGAACCTACAAACTCTATATTAAAAGTATCCCAAAAAGGGCCAAAAGGATTTCCCGACTTTGCATTACAACTATTTTGTACTTCACCACTTCTCTGGACATAACAAAAAGATATTCTTTTTTGTGGTTGCCAAATATTAGGGGCTATGTCATTCATAAAATCATCCATTGAAATCACTCTATGGTATAAAGCCAGAGACTCCACTTTAAAATATGTAGTAAAAGGTACTTGAATTGACTTCATTTCTCCATACCGGTATTCAACCCATGGTGGCAGAACAAGTGTACGGTTTATTCCTTTACTGAATGCTAAGGCTCCTAAAAAGTGGTCTGCTTGATTACCAAATCTACCTGAAAATTTATGAAAAATGAATTAAATTAAGTAAGCTATGAAAAAAGGAATTTTCTTATAAAACGGGAAGAAAATTCCACGTAACAATATCATCCATCATACTTCGAATCAGATGATTTTGCCGTTTCTTTTTGGGCAAAATTATATTTCAAAATCATTTAGCCTCATATTCCATCATATAATCACTAAGCACACAAGTAGTCGAAAATAACATACCCATGCAGGGACAATATACAACATATCCATCATTATTATAACTTAAACTATTAACAAAATTAAATGCTAAAAAAATCAGCAACATCTTTCTTCTTTCTAGCACGTAATTAGGAGCCTGAAATCGCAAAATATAACCCAGACAACATCTTTATTACTTTTATTCCAATTTTATTTTATATTGTGTCTATTTACGATAGATTACTTTGACAATTCATGATATGGGTCGAGTAAAATCGATAAGGAATGTTTTCGATTTTTGGTTGTTGTTCTTATAAAATTTGCAATCGGAAATTTCGTGACTATTGTTTTTGAATTACATTGTAAGTAAAATTATTTCTTTCTATTCCTATTTTATTCTTCATAACAACGTAAATAAGTAAAACAATAAACCAAAAATTGTGGTGCTGATAAACAAAGAAGAAATGTATTTAATTTTTTTTTATTAATTGTGCAATACATAGCCAAATAGCTGTATTAAATTCAAAAAGTTATAAAATACCTAAATTATAGTACCCATTTGTTCGATTAATTTTATTTCAAGATCGATTCTCGATAGTCCACAGTTATTCGCGCTATGGTTTGAGATACACTAGAGACGACACATTGATAGTGACGTCGCGAGCTATGATTGGTGTTTGAGATCGAGGCGGGCAAAAAAAAAATGCGACTTAAATCATTTTAATTTAATTTCAGGCAAACAATTAGGGTCTGAAAATGTTATTATATGCTTTTAAATCCTGCCTTTTATTTATAAAACATAACATTATTTAAATTTGTGACATTAGTACACATTGGTACATACCAATACACAGACCTATTTATAAGAAAGTTCTGGTATTTTATGTACTCTTTGATAGTAGTATTAATCGCCATTTTCTTTTACCTTCATGTTGGTAAGAAAATCTAGTTTTTGCCTGTCATTTATTTACTTGGATAACTCAAAAGGTAAAGTTATAATAATTAAAGTAGTTTAAAAAAAATTGCAATAATGGCTAATATAGCTGCAAAACGTATAAAAAGAGAATTTAAAGAAGTAATGAAAAGCGAGGAAGTAGCGGATGGAACTTTGAAATTAGAACTGGTTAATAACAGCTGGACAGAATTAAAAGGACAAATAGCTGGTCCTTCAGAAACTCCATATGAAGGGGGAAAATTCATTCTTGAGATAAAAGTACCGGAGACATATCCTTTTAATCCACCTAAAATTCGGTTTTTGACGCGAATTTGGCATCCCAATGTATCCTCAGTGACAGGTGCGATCTGTTTGGATATCTTGAAGGATCAATGGGCTGCAGCGTTAACTCTGAGGACCGTGCTACTCTCTATACAGGCTTTACTTTCTGCTGCGGAACCGAACGACCCACAGGATGCGGTTGTTGCAAAACAATATAGGGAGAACATTGAACTATTTCACTTAACTGCACAGCATTGGACTAATGTTTATGCAGGTGGTCCAAACGTGATATTAGATTTCGTGCAAAAGGTGCAAATGCTTACTGATATGGGTGTTGATGAAAATCAGGCTCGGGTGGCATTGTCAACTTTTGATTGGGAGTTAGAACGAGCTACAGAACAGTTGTTCAGTTAGTCTTGCTATTTTGTTGTAATTTAAGAGTTTGATACATACACACAGCAATTAATGATACCTCACATATGTTAGTGTTTTTGGTAGAGTTTTATATATGCAGGACTAAGGATATTTTACCATTAATTAAAATAAAAAGAAATTGTGTTTGGAAAACAAGTTTCCTTTGCTTTTCCATTTATTATGGTACATACTTAAAGCTAGATGTGCTTTTCATGTAGTTTTGTTTCAAGTTCAAAACTAGGGTTTTTAATAAAAAACATTTAAGTTCGCTTGTAGTATACAATATTGTTAATGAAACATAAAATATTATTAGCTTTATTTTAAATGCATTCAGTTTATTTTATCCTTGATATATGTTTAAAGAAGACTAAAAAGTTTTCTTAAATATTGAAAATGTAAAAAAAGAAAGGTAAATTATGCAACAAATAAAGTCTTAGGACATAGTCACTTTAGTTTTGGGAAAAATAAATTTATCTTTTCTCTTTGATTCATGGTCAATAATAAATGATTTTTTAAATTTCTTGGCTGTGTGATAGTTATTGAAAGGGACTAAACCTGTCGCCAAGTACTAATAAATGTTAATTTTTTACAATTACTAAAGGATTAACCAACTGATAATAATTGTAAAAAATACACAACTATTCCAATAATTATAGTATATGTGATGGGTTTTTTTTTAAATAAATTGTGTAATCTGTAAAGAAGTAAACTGGTTTTGAATTTTGTTTTTAGGTGAAATATTAATAGGCCTCAATATAGCAACCAACTAATTGTGTAAAACTGAAAATCCTTTTTAATTTTACTGTGGTTTTTCCAATGCCATAACACATGTACAGATAAAAATATTTATCTTTGTTTTTGAAAGTGAATCTGAGGGATTACAATATTTGGACATCAGTTTTAGCAGTTACAGCCCATGGTTGCATTTGGAGCTCTGTGTTAATTCTATGAAACACTTGAGCCTCAATGTTTCCTAAGTGCCTCCATTGTACCACAAAATTATATATGTATTTGTAAAATTATGAATCAAGATTTCTGTTTCACATGATTAATTGGATACACAAAAATCATTACCTTATATTTTTTCTTAGCCATACTCCGCTACTATATATAGTACCTTTAATTTTGCCACATGTAAAGCTTTTGAAGTTTGTTATAAACATTTTCATGATGACAATCCTTATTATTCTGAATTGTTATAATTAAAATGGTCACATATTTAAACACAATTTTTTATATAACTTTTTAAGGCAAGTGCATTTTTTCTCCTGTCATATTGACATTGTAAATGATTTTGTTGTGGAAAATTCATCCATAAAGTACATAAATATTAGTAACTAGTTTAATGTTTTGTAAATTTGATGACTGATACATCTAAAAGTCATCAAGAACTAGAGAAAGTGTTGTATGTAATTTTTGTTTTAGTATATATGTGAAAATTTATAAAAATATGAATTTAAAACAATTATTTTGTATTACTTTTTCTTCCAATCATCATCATCATTTAATCAATTATCATCCTCTATGTCAGTGGTTCCCAAACTTATTTTGTCTACCGCCCACTGAGAATAAATATTTTTTAAGTGCCCCCATATTTTCACATATTTAAAAACCACTATAACTTCAAATTAATTAATTATTGTGATCTTTATATGTATATAAACGGAGAATTCTAAACGAAACTTTTACTATAACCCGCAACTTGAGATCTGCAGCGCCCACAAGGGGGCGTTATTGCCCACTTCGGGAAAGATTGCTCTATGTAATCAAAAATCATTGTATGTTTGTCCACAATTGACTACCTGAAAACTTAGTGCATTATTCGTACTATGAAACTTCGCTGCAACAATCAACATTTGCTTGTTGTCTTATGATCCTAAAATGTCGTTCCTATAAAATTAAACAGAAATGTGGAAAACAAGCAAACGGTCGCTGATTTCGCTAATACCAAGTGACTTTAACTTGTAGATACAATGCCTACCTAAGTCCGTTCGTGCACAAGACATTATAAATCTTCGAAACCCGGCAATTTTTGTCGTTAAGCGACATAAGCAATACATAGAGGTTCCTACACATTGCCAATCGCCGACATTTTATTCTTTTGTTGCCATCATCAGTCGCACGCCATTGTGAACATCGTCGTGAGAAAAGTCGGTGCGATTTTTAAAATGATGGAGCAAATCTATATAGTTGCCAGAAGACACAGACACTTTAGTAAAAGCAATTCTGTGATTCTTCTGATTGTGCGTGTCGGAGGCATAATTTCAAGTCCACTTTCCTTTGAAGGTGGGAGTGTAATGGATTTGACGGAGAAGGGAACTCATAGGAAAGGTATTTATCCCTTTATGTGCTTCCTCTCCTCTTTCACTCATGAGGCGAAATTGCTTCCGCTTCACGCCTGTCATTTGTAGTCATGGTAATACACCTGTGGAGCCGACCAATTCGAGCAAGAGATATTGCGCTGGCGTCTACCACTGTTATATTAGTGAAGAACCTACTCATAGTACGGGAGGCAAATGGGCGAAGCGGGCATTAAGGCCCTTCGTAAATCTTTGAAACTCGGAGAATCAAAGATACGTACACGTACACCGTACACGTTATAGGGCCAGTTAACTTATACCGGAGGATCGGTCGCGTTTTGTCGGTCTCTAGTCAAATGTATAGAAAAACACTTGAGATGGTACGTTACGGTATCGAGCGTACAGCATCTATTTCGTTTCCGTATTGTTGGTCAGCAAATAATTCGGCCACTTGATAGTCTTTTTATTTATTGAGGATGTAACCAATATCGACGATTCCTTTTTCGGTCTCGTTGCTTTCAAATAGCAATTATTTCAATAGACTTCATTTTAAAATTCAATATCACACGACACAACCTCTCTGTTGATACTAAACTGATCACACGCGCAATGTATCAGATCTCTTTTCACCGAATAGATGCAACGGATGATAGATAATCTCGACGCATTTTCCATTTGATATGAACCAATCCATAATTACATTAACTCTCAATCATATCAACATCTATAGAGAACAGGCTGTTTTTCTTATTGGCTACCAAATCATTAACAAACTTTGCTATGAAGACATGATGTTTTACACAATTGGTAAACTCTTACATGAAAAATTAAGATTAATAAATAAAAAAATTGTGACAAATAAAAGAAAAACAAAGCATATGTTACATAATTTTATTAAGCTTTCACAGCATAAACACGAGGTGGGAACAAGGATTTCTTCCTAATTTCCTTGCGTGTTTTCAGTTTGGCTTCATGTTTTGTTAGAGCCTTACGCATAGCACGGGTCTTCTTGGGTCTAAGGTCTAATGGCTTGTATTTTTTATTCTTGTAGTGATTTCGGAGATTCACCTTCATCTTCTGATGGTAAACAATGTAGACTCGTGCGATAGCTTTCCTCACAACTCGTCTGTAAAAGAACAATTACATCAGAACAATGTACAAATTAGTAGCAACATTGTCCCCTTTATGAACATAACAAATATTAAGGTAGTATATGATAACCACAACACCAAAATTTCATTATAATTGGTTTAGCTACTAAAGTTGTTGTTGTTAATCCTTTGGCTTAGCTACTAGTTTTTAGGTTAAAGCGCAGTTTATGATTAAATAGTTGGATCAGGACCTGGTATAAAAGGCTAATAGAGTTTATCACAAATGAGACTATGCACTAAGACCTTTTATAAACAAATATGAGAATTTATCTTTAATAATTGTAGTTGTATAGTTGCCTACACTTATCCTCTGTTGGTACACCAACAACAAAATATTAGGTATCTTGTTGTTGGTGTACAAATACTAAAATAACTAGGTATACTTCTGGTATTGTAAAATTATAATTTTTGGATCCAGGTCCAGCTAAGAAAGGTTTATAACTATTTACACATGAAATATCTTAATATGATCATAATAAACGATTGGCCTACACGTTTACACACTGACAAAGCGTCTACTTTGTTGTAAATTTTAAGCGAATAGTTTAAACTGATAAGAAATGTCATCGTTTTATTAATTTTTGGTCATAATTAACTTACATTTTGGAGAGTTTTGAAGCAACACCACCGGTGACTTTGGCAACTCTCAGATTTGTCAACTCAGTCTTCAACTCTTCAAGTTGCTTGAAGAGTTCCTTCTTATCCTTAGTTCGCAATTCGGAGCACTTGACTTTACCCTGTTTTAAGAAATGAAGAATAAAACTAATGCACTTTCTTTGTATAACACCACTTTTAACTTTGTTTTGCAGTTTAAAATATTAGTAACATAGTAAATGAATATGAAAACAACGCAAAGCTGTCCCATTGTTAAGGTTAGAATCAATAACTATTTCAATACAATCAGAATTACAGAAATATTTTTTAGCATGTGTTGAATTTATGTCGCTTTACACTATGCGATTAAAAGTTTGTATATTTAGTTACTGATTTCAATCCTAAAAATGGATTTTAACTTAAAAATATCGTACCATTTTGAAAATTACACCACCTGTCACCACTATTTTGACATAAAGAAATTTGAAAGACACAGAATTTTCATACGAGCGTTGACATTCGGCAAAGAAAAAGAGCAAAGCAAAGAGTATGACCTGAGATAATTTATGTCATTTGATTTTATCACAGGCTATATAAAGCAAAAGTATATAAAACAGTGTTTTGAGTGTTAAATTGTAATGAAATTCTAACAGGAGTTTACAGTACAGCAAGTTTTTATGTTTTATTTAAAAAAAATACAAGCACATTTTATCGTGTACGATTACAGACCATAGTATAGCTCAACAAACTTATTTTGACCCGGTGGGCATAAGTGACTCTATAGTCAAACAAGGATATATGAACTGACGGAAGGCGCTAGTATCGCGGTTGGTTTTTTGTCAAAATATACATAAAATATAAGGCTATCTGGCCCAGCATAAGTCAAAGTCGTTGAGATAGCCTGAATTCGTCCATAATTTACCCTGATCGACTACATAATGAAAAGGATATGTCTTAATCATATTAAAATTAATAATTCAATTTAAGGTAAGTATAACTTCAATATTACATGAATAAATACATGCAAAGTAAGAAGGTTCTATATTTGATAACATCGAAAGAAAGAAACATAAAAGAAAAAATTATGTTGAGTGAGATTTGAACTCTATCCTTTCATATTTTTTTTTTAGAATTTCATCTCTACGTGTGTGTATTGTGCCGATGTAATGCACCGTATGACACTCCGGGGCAGAAGACGAATCGAATGACACCTGACTTCCAAAAATTGGTTGTAGTTTAGGCTCTAGCTCGTCGCTATGGTATTTACATTCATACAAACCCACAAAATAAAAACAAACTTACATCCGCGGGAATAATCATTACCCTCTTTGTCAAACGGTTAAATCATCTTGTATTTAGGATCATCGTATAGAAATGTTAAATAAAATAAGCTGCTATATTAAACATTCATAAATTTAATTTATTGTGCAAGTTATTTATATTTAGCTTATTAACCTTTTTCACCATTTGTGTAAATAAAATATTACTCAATTCTTCCCATCTACAATAAAATAATTAAATATGATTTGAATAAATACTTAGCTTAAAAGTAACTATGTATTTTTAAAGCATTTTATACTTAATTTTAAAATATTTCTTAGCAAAATTTAAGGCTCGGTATTAACAATAACAATTGTATGAAGTTGAGGGCAAATTGCCGACGTAGAAAAATACAAGAGCAACAACCGTTCCTAGGAACGCTTCTGAGCCCACTTCATGTCATCTGCGCGGGGCTTACAGCCGGTGAGCGCCTCTATGACCATCTCCAATGTCGACCAGAAGTGCAGCTTCTCCAGGGGCCAGTTCAGCCAACCAGTGGTGATGCAGAAGTAAGTCTCGTGCGGCGCTACGTGGTGTATGCGGTGGTGGCGGCGAGGCAGCACTATGTGCCACTCTTGCAGCCACACCACCCACACCGGCAGACCGAAGTACGTATGTGACCATTTGTGTATCTGGAGATGAACAAGAGCAGAGTAAAAAGGCAGTAAATTAAAAAGAAAAAATACCCGGACTATTTTTTTACCATCGTAAGCATAATTCTGAACGGTGAAATGAAATATTCGTAGCTTTAATAATTTGCGTGCTGGAAATAGATCGGAATGTTTGGAACAATATATGAGAACCCCGACAAGTCCCCATGCGAAAAAAAAATCAAGGTCGAAGGTTTAAAAATGTCCATATCAGAATTCACTCTCATGACATGCACATTCCATCTTTTGCTTTTCAATTCCTCTAATCACTGAAACAACTCTCAGACTTCTTCTATGATACATGACGTATCTCTGTTACCTGTAATCTTCTTTCATTCAAAACTATGGTAGTTGTTGAACTACCTACTATAGAGATAGAATTCAATTTTGTCAAATGTTACGATCTTCTTGCGCACCTTGATTGCTTCGTTACTTATGACGCTGTCGCTG